AATAGCCCTTTTTGCGTTAGTAACGCAGTAGAAATATAGTTATAAATAATGAAAAGACGGTCATTTATCGCACATAACATGTAAATTATTACTAGAAATATGATTTTTTTACTTATCAAACATATTGCGACATAATACGGTAAGGTTGCAACATATTAAGGCAATGAAAAATCGGACTACATTGAATGTAAACATTGCGACATTTGACAGCAGACGATTTTGCGACATTTAGCGGCGATATTGCAACATACGAGTATATCGGCGTTGCGACATATAACAGCGCCACATCGCTTGTGTAAAGTACAGCTTTATTTAAACCATAAATTCTAGAAAAAAGATCATTTTTTAGAAGTAAGTTAATCAAGACAGCCTTCTTGAACGCCAAAAAGACTTGATACTCGTAAGATGTTTGATACCTGGAGGTGTGCGGTTATCAGTTATTGTGCACAGCCAAACCTGTGAACAAAGACTACCTAATGGAGAACCCAAATATGACCTTAAAAGACAAGTGGTCTTTATTCGGGGGTTACTATATTCTATTAAAACACTGGACGGTTGTTGAAAAATGTTCTTTATTCACAAGGTAATCTTTATTTAAAGGTGGTTTCTATCATAGGTTTGGCTGTATATACATGTACAAGTCTGAAGCTCATTTGAATGTGCTTGTGTATTAATTAACATCTAAACGTCAAACTAGCTGTTACATATTTCACACAGCCAGCAAAAACTTTAAATGTGTTTGTAAGAACTTTGAAATATTTTGCACGATAACTTTTATTATAATCGTCAGTATATATATTCCGTACATACTACATTATAAAGCTAATGTAGTAGGTCTCACCCTGGTACGGAATAAGACCCAACCCGTTATAGTCTACAAAGTAGTTCTTTTAAGTTTTTTAAGTAATCTCTAATTTGATTGGTCATAATTAAAGAGTATTTATTGGATCTGTGTAGTTTTTGTGTGTGATATGATGACTTTAAAAGTTGGGGGTTTTTTTTGTGTATTCTCCCGGACCTCATTTGTTGGCGGAAGGATTTTACATAAACTACCCAACAGCAGTAAGGAGTGTTTAAAGTGGTAAATTTAAACAGTGTTACAACAGATTTATGATTTCGGCTAACATATCATATTTCCTGCCTCATTTGACTTAGATAGTGTTGATGTCCAAAGTTGAAGACAGTGTATAATTCATCAAGAACAGTTAAATCCAGATTTGTGACTGATCAAATTGATCAACAGTAAAATCTTACTTATAAAATTGGTTAATATAAATGAATTTACAAAAGTCAGGTATGTTTTTATCTTATATTCAGGAAAGAAACTTTTTGTTTGAATGGTAAATTTTGTACAGACGACCAACGCCGTCCATCTCAAAGTCTATGAGTATATTCTCATTATTACGCTCGAATCACACGCCATCTCAACTTCTTGTCATGTTTCTGTGTTTGTTTTTCTTTTTTTTTTCTTTTTTTTTTCTTTTGTTTTTGTATATATACAGATGTTGATGCTGTGTCAAAGGCTCTTCTTAAAGCCCTAAGTAAAAATAGTTCTTCTTCCTCTTCTTCTTTTTCATCATCTTCTTCTTCACTTTCTTGTTTTGGCATTTGATAATATTCTTTAAATGCATCTCCTAAGTGTTGTAGAATGGGAAGCAACTCAATCATGTTTAAATGTCATTGAGTTATTGCTAGTGGCAGTGGTTTACATCTTTCACTGTCGTACATGGACCTGTTCTATCAAACCGAGTCTGCAATATTTTTAATTTACTTATATGCCGACTATTCAGTTGTCATGGTTTTAAGTTCGAAAGAAATTTCGAGGTATATTGTTGTACATCTGTTTGTCTGTCTGTCCATCTATTAGTAGGTTTTGTGTCCGTTGTGTGGTTTTCGAACCGAACGCCTTCAATGTTAACAATGGCAGTATCCTAAGGGCGTTTATTCTTGTTGTTGTTGTTTCTTTCTTTGTCTTCTTCTATCATAAAGGCCTCATTAATGCATTAGCTGGGGCTCATGTATGTTCTTTTAGGGCTCATGTAAGCTTCATTGTGTGCCCATTTTATGTCAATCTAAACTCATATTGACTATTACTAGCACTTGTTTAAACGTAATTCAGTGCTCATGTAGACTTTATTGTCAAAGGTTGCTTTGATATAAACAACTGTAGAATATATATGAACAACAGCCATCACCACTCGTAACATTGGCTTATTAAAGGTACATTATGCCTCAGAAACAAATGAGCCGTGCTAGGACAAAGCCAACATAGTGGGTTTGCGACCAGCATGGATCCAGACCAACCTGCGCTGATCAGGATCCATGCTGTTCGCTATCAGTTTCTCTACTTGTAAAAGGGTGTGTAAGCGAACAGCATGGATCCTGATCAGACTGCGCGGATGAGCAGGCTTGTCTGGATCCATGCTGGTCGCAATCGCGGTCGTGACGCGGCTCAAATACATTTTACTTCTTCAGAAAGAGCAAACATACATTTTATAATGTTTAAATAAAAGTTTTAGAGAATGTTCGCTACTTGTTACCTGACAAAAGTAACGCTAAATGTGAAATTATTTTTCATAAATGTAGCAAAATGTAAACAAAGTAGTATTTTGACTTCCATACATTCAAAATACCAATTCACTGTAACTGTACTTATTGCCAGAAAGCAACAGGTGAAACATATAGTTTAAGTAATTAGCCAATAAGTAACTTTTTGGATACTTAAAAGTACACCAAAATTAAAAAGCTTTTGAGAAACATAAATAAAAGCATTTCTGAGGCATAATGGGCCTTTAAAGTACATATCTGAGACCCAGGTTTGACGTCGGATAATTGGGACATATAAGAAAGGAGAACAAAGAATGCATCGATGCAACAATTTATTATTGATATGTTTAAATGTAATATTCTGTATTCATTGTAGATCAACTTGTATTCAGACAGGTGTTAGGTTCGGATCATCTACATAATGAATCGAACAAATCATAAATACAGAAAGTTCATCATTCTTCGGTCTGTTTTCCGTTTGTTTTTCTGTGTTTACTGAATAAAAAAAATAATAAAACAAATAAACACTGTAAGGAAAAGAAGAGAAACATGAATATATTATAGTGATTTGCGATACACGAATTCAGTACATAACACAAAACAAAACAATCGCCAAGCCACATGAACTGTTCATGGAAACCGTCATGTGAATTAATTTGGGTTAACTTTATTAACTACATGTATAGTAAAGATCTATAATGAATGATTTTAACAGAATATTTTACATGCCTTGTAACACGCTAAAAGGCAGTGTTCGTTCGTGAGAAAGTAACAAATGCCATATTCCTCAGAATTTAGTGTATTTCTTTTATTTTTTTTTTTTATTGACCGGATTCTAATTTAAAAAAAAAATAATAATGACTAAATCTTTGAATTTAAAAATTGACATCATAACCTAAACAAAATGGCGGAATCAAGATTTCTAATAAAGTATTTCCAAATTCAAATATGTCGCCTTATATCGTAAGTCTAATGCAGAGCATAAAAGTCAACGAGAACAGACTGTATACATTGTACACATTGAATTGTATAGGTTCTCAAACTTTGGTACAATGATTTTGTTTAACGACAGTGAAATTAAATCATGCAATTTGTCACCACTGTGGGAGTTTACGGTAGACGGACATAACTCTTTATAGAAAAGAAGAAAAATAGATGTAGTGTATGTAACAGAAGTACGAACGACCGAAGAGGACATTTCATCTTCATGAATTCCAATTATATACCTTCGTGAATTCACAATTTAAACTTCGTGAATTTAAGTAATCAACATTAGGAATTCATAAATTCACGATTTCAACTTCACGAATTTAACATCATGAATTCACGATTTCAACTTCACGGATTCACGATTTCAACTTCGCGAATACACCATGTCAGCTTCAATTATTCACGATTTCAACTTCATGAATTTGAAATAGTGACTTGATGAAGGTGATACCGTGAATTTCATGAATTAAAGTTGAAATCGTGTAATTGAAATCGTGTAGTTAAAATTGTGAATTCATGAAACTGAAATCGTGAATTCACGATGACGTAATGTCTCCACCGTTCTCTCGTACAAAAGAGCTCGCATCCACTTCGCCAGTTATACCTTCATGTTTTTCACATTATACACTTGGAGGAAAATAATGATACGTGTCGTGTGTTTCATGGAGAAATGCTTTGCAAATTGATAGTCATTATTGTACTTACTAAAGGTCTTTCACAGATATAACCTATCTTGTCAGTACAGTCACTTGTATACCAAGTAAATAATCCGAGATCCTCCAAGTTAACGCAGTCATAGGCAGCAGTGTTATATGCAGTGTACCCGTTTTGGAAAGTGTTACTATTAATATCTCCAGAATATGCCCACACGAATGTGCCCTCGGTGTCCACGTCTGATAAGGCAATCCAAAACGCTGTTAAAATGTAAGCATAAGACTTTAGAAAAAGATCAGACTTTAGACAGACGAGATCACACTTTGAGAAGAATAGATCACTCTTTAGAAAGAGGAGATCAGACGTTAGAAAGAGGTCACACTTTAAGAGGAAGAGATCACACTTTAGAAAAATAAGATCAGACTTTAGAAAGATGAGATTAGTCTTTATAGAAAGATGAGATCACACACTTTAGAAAGAGGAGATCACATACTTTAGAAAGAGGAGATCACACTTTAGAAAGATGAGATCACACTTTAAGAAAAAGAGATAAGACTTTATAACAAGAGCTGTCCGTAAGACAGCGCGCTCGACTTTTTTATTGCTTGCCAATAAAAAAAGTTTTTGCAGTAATACAAAACATTGACAGTTAAGGGCCATAATTCAAATAAAATCTTTGACAGAATTACCTTCTCCTGGACATGTTTGGGAATCATGATTGTAAACAAGTATTCCAACTTTCAAATTAATATCTCAAACAGTTCAGTCAAAAAGTGGACTGGTACTAAAAACTTAACCAAGATTCTAAGTCGATAAAAGGCCTTAATTTTTAAAACAAATCCTTGACAGAGTTACCTTCTCTTACGTACAGATGGGGGTAATGATGTGAAATAGCATTAAAAGTTTCAAAGCAATATCTCAAAGGGTTAAGGCAATAAGTGGATTTTACCCATATTCAATGTATTTTCTAAGTCAAAAAGGGGCATAATTCTGTCAAAAACCTTGACAGAGTTATGTCCTCTTGTCTGTTGATGAAGGTCGTGATGGTAAACAAGTATGGTCAGTTTCAAAGCAATACCTCCAATGGTTTTGAAATAAAGTGAGGTGGTACAAAAAACTTAACCAAGCTCAATACACTTTCTAAGTCAAAAAAGGGCCATAATTCTGTCAAAAACCTTGACAGAGTTATGTACTCTTGTCTGTAGATGGAGGTTATGATGGTGAACAAGTATGGTAAGTTTCAAAGCCATACTTGTAATACTTCTGAAATAAAGTGGGGTGGTACGAAAAACTTAACCAAGGTGTGACGCCAACGCCGACGCCGACGCCGACGCCGGGGCGAGTAGGATAGCTCCCCTTTTCATAGAAAAGTCGAGCTAAAAATGAGATCAGACTTTAGAAAGATGAGATTAGACTTTAGAAAGATGAGATCACACTTTAGAAAGAGAAGGTCACACTTTAAGAAGAAGAGATCACACTTTAGAACAAGAGCTGTCACAGGAGACAGCGAAGCTCGACTAATGAAATACTGGACGCAGTAAGGAGGACAAAACTATGAAAAAATTATGTATAATTATGTATTAAGTTATAGTAAAAAAATAATATTTGTTAACATAAATTCCAAGATCAAGGGGAATAATGCTAGAAATAGTCATGCTAGAGTTATGGACCTTGTCACACAACATTTGTGTAATGATAAGAAACATATATTTGAAGTTTGAAGCAGATACCTTAAAAAGAAAAGAAGCTATTATATTTCTTAAAGAAAATCCTAAGTTCAAAGAGAGATAAATCTGTAAATGTTGCATCAAGAGTTATGAACAATGTCACATAAAATGTAATTGTTGATAAGGAATAAGTATTTGGAATTTGAGGTAGATACCTTTAAAAATAAAAAAGTTATAATAAAAAATAACATTTTTCTAGTAAAAAAATCTAAGTTTATGGGGAGATAATTCTTGTAATATTGGTGCTAGAGTTATGAACCTTGTCACATAAGATGTGGATGATGATAACGTAAACATATTTGAAGTATGAAGTTGATCCCTTTAGAAATAAATAAATAACAGTAAAAAAAATATTTTTTATGGAAAATTCTAAGTTCAAAGGGAGATAAATCTGAAAATATTGGTGCTAGAGTTATGAACCTTGTCACATAAGATGGGGATGATGATAACGTAAATACATTTGAAAGTATGAGGTTGATCCCTTAAGAAATAAAGAAGAAACAGTAAGAAATAGTACTTTTTTGAGGAAAATTCTAAGTTCAAGGGGAGATAAATCTGAAAACTATTGGTGCTAGAGTTATGAACCCTTGTCACATAAGATGGGGATGATGATAAGGTACATATATTTGAAGTATGAGGTTGATCCCTTAAGAAATAAGGAAGTAACAGTAAAAAATAGTATTTTTTAAGGAAAATTCTAAGTTCAAGGGGAGATAAATCTGAAAATATTGGTGCTAGAGTTATGAACCTTGTCACATATGATGTGGTTGATGATAAGGAAGATATATTTGAAGTTTGAAGTTGATACCTTAAGAAATGACAAAGTTATAGTGAAAAATATTTTACTGCACCAAAACTTTAATCTAAAATCTGGACGCGGACGCGGACGCCGACGCCGACGCCGGGGCGAGTAGGACAGCTCTCCATATACTTCGTATAGTCGAGCTAAAAATTAGATCATACTTTAGAAAGATGAGATTAGACTTTAGAAAGATGAGATCACACTTTAGAAAGATGAGGTCACACTTTAAGAAGAAGAGATCACACTTTAGAAAATTAAGATGAGACCAGACCTTAGAAAAATGAGAAGAAGAGATCACACTTTAGATAAAATGAGATCAGACTTTAGAAAGATGAGATTAGACTTTAAGAATAATAGATCAGACTTAAGAAAGTGGAGATCTCACTTTAAAAAAATTAGAGATAAGACTTTAGAAAGAGGAGATCACACTTTAAGAAGAAGAGATCAGACTTAAGAAAGGTGAGATCAGACTTAAGAAAGGTCTAATCAGACTTTAGAAAGATGATATTAGACTTAAAAAAGAGGAGAGCAGACTTTAGAAGGAGATCAGAATGGCGCACACGGTTGACTGTGAATTATTACCCCTCATTTTCTTCGTAATGTTAATTTCCCATAGGCCTCTAAGAGTTATTCTTATTGTTAATGCAGGTGTACCACGTGACAAAGTATTGTGTACTGTTACATAGGTAAAGGTTCTTTTAACAGTATAACATCTGGTCACGTGGTCTATTTTTTAAATAAAATGAGAAAATGGCCGCCATTTTTTCTCTCGATTCATTCTTATTTTCGAAGTTCACCACGATAGAGCATCACCAGAGTAATAATGACACCCATAAATTTTAGTTCTTAGGACTACAGAGTGCTTTTCGCGTATAAAATATATTTTTGTTTAATAATAATTTACAGCATATACAAATAAATATACTTCAGACATATGCTCAAAGTCAGGATTTTGATATCATGTTTTCCCGTTAATCATGATACGATCCTGCTTGTGTAGTTTAAAAGAAAATATAAACAATTGTTTTATAACGCTAAGTGTTTTGGGATTAAATCGTGATTAACACGTGATTAATGAAATAACTTACATGGAGGAGCTAGCTCAAAATATATAAAAGCCTCTTCCTCTTCGCTCGTGATTTCAACAAGGTAAGCGTTTAGAGATTCGCACTTGGCCTGTATAGTAAAGTGATAATACAATTGAGCCAAAACCAACATAATGGGTTTGCGATCAGCAGGGATCCAGACCAACGCAGTCGCTATTCGCTATCAGTTTATCCACAGGAACTTGAAATTCTATCAAATAACCAATATTAATGATTATATCCAAATATACCCCCTATATACTATAAATAAATATTTATAGTATATAGGGGGTATATTTGGATATAATCATTAATATTGGTTATTTGATAGAATTTCAAGTTCCTGTGGTTTATCTACTTGTTATATGGTTTGTAAGCGAACAGCATGGATCTTGATCAGACTGCGCGGATTTGCAGGCTGGTCTGGATCCATGCTTGTCGCAAACGCATTATGTTATGTCATGGCACGGCTCAATCATATTTCAATATCTAAATGCTTCTATATTTGAAATTAAAAAAAATCTACATATTAATCTTTTATAGTGTCCACACAAAATGAATTTTTATGAAAAATATAACTTTTGGTTATAATATTGCATCAGCATATTAGAATGAAAATAGATAGTAATTTTTATTGCATTATAGTTTAATGGTGCACGATTTGTCGTTCAAATGCTTTGTAATTAATCACTCAAGCCTATCGACCTTCGTGATTATATTACTGCGCATGTGAACTATTCTACATTCGAAAGTGATATATCTCTCCTTATTCTAACACGACCCGCATTTTCCCCAACCGAAAGCGTGTGTTTTTATGCAATAAAATCACAGTTTGAACATGTGACGTATTCATCATGTATACACTTGACGTAACCACTAAAAAGGTGTCTCGCTGAATATAGGTACGGAAACAAATCAGGCGCAATATAGGTTAATATAAGGTACGGTCAATAAGAACTTGTTCTATTTGTGTTTTTTATTATTCACAATGAACACAGTCTGAAAATAAACAATACAGAAAACCTTTAAATGTGACTAGATATACATCACAAGACTTGACAATACGACTTCCATGTCATAACCAAGGGAATGATTAAATTGACAATGAAATACATATAGCATGAACCGTGATAAAGTGCAATACATGAAGGAGTAAAATAATCTTATACATTTTGGGTTTGTAATTACCTATCAATTAAAGTTTATTGTGCCACTTCACTTGTGATGTTGTGTTTGTAAAAATATTGTTACAAATGGCGATTTTCCCATCAGGGGAAGTAACTCTACCATGTGAAGTCCTGACCTCATGTACCGTGCACTGTATATATTCGTATATATCTCCCCCCAAGTCTTTTGACACATAATTTGTAAAAGAAAAAAAAGACTGAAACACACATATATATCACTAAATAATCAGTCACGTACAAAATAAACACCATGTCATGTCACTACACAATAATAACAAGTTTACATGTTCTGACGTAGTAAAAATAATTCATATTATGAACACACCCTGTGGATTGGAACATCATTAAGGTTAATTTTAGTGGGTGATGACGTATGAACACTGACTGTGTTATGATTACGCTTATGGCATGTCGTAATCATTGTGCCATTTAGGTTTCCTTGTTAGTTCGCTCTGAGCGTCGGGGTGTAGTAGGTGAAGGGGGAGGTTCGGTCTGAACACTACTTGGTAGTGGTGGGAACTTGGGGTCTTCCTGTGGGTGGGGGTCCGTTGGGTGGTTGGACTTTTTCGGACAATGCCCGAAGGTAGGGAACCTGATGGGTAGTTGGGTGTTTTTTTTTTTGTTTGTGTAGGCTCAGTGACCACCAGGTGAGCTTGGGGGTAAGTTGGGTGGCTGTGGTAGAGGGCATCCCAATGAATATGGGCGATGAATGAATGTCTGCAATGGAATGCCCTTGTCTGGGGAGTAAGTTGGCGTGAACTCTGGGGGTAAATAGGAATAAACTTTCTAAGGAATTTGTCGGTTCCTCAATGTGACGCGACCTGACCCGTCTACTCTAATGACATATTGATCGAATTGCTTCACCTCAATTATCGATACCTGTCTTATCCCACTTAAGAGGATGGGGCCAACCTGATTCTGGATGCGGACATGGTCCCCAATGCGGAGTGCGGGGAGTCTCTTAGTTATGTAGCCTCAATCTTTTCATATGACAACATATTGTCGTTTCCTAAGAGCGGCCTCACGTAAAATCAGGGTCTCACGCCATGTAGTGTGGGGAGGAAACGACCCGGTGGGATGGGTATGAAATCGCGAAATGGGGTCTCCCGAACACGCACATTGCCGGTGAAAGCTTTGTGTCCCTGTCGGGTGTATTGCGATATACTGTAGCATTGCACGCTGAAAGCGGTCCGTATCTAGATTACCGTCGGCATTAGTGTTTGCCATAAGTAAACGCTTTACAGTCTTCACGCCTAATTCAGCTCGACAATTGCTATGAGGGAATGCTACGAGGAGATAACGGTGATGCACTCCCCACTGCTGTAAGAAATTATCGTGTGACGATGCCTGTAAATTCGGGACCGCCATCCGAAGACAGCTCTTCTGGAATCCAAAGGTAATGAATGTACGCCGTAGTGTATCAAACCAAGCCTTGGCAACCTGATGATGCCTTTCTACAGTTGGCCAGCCAGAAAAGTACGGTTTACTATGACTAAGTAGTAGTGCCCCTTGAAATGAAGAGAAATCAGCGCATAAGCACTGGAATGGGTATTCTGGGTAGGTCAGGGGCGTAGGGGGCGCCCGAGGGTTAGAGGGTGCGCTGCGGTTACAATGTTGGCAAGATGCTCGCAAGGAGGTGATGTCTGGTGTTATTCCAGGGCCAGAAAACTGACGACTCAGGCGTGCAGTCATTGCAGTTACTCCTTGGTGAGCTGAGTGGAGTGAATGAGGACTTCCGGTCTGAGGACGGGTGGATGATGATGCGGTCCTTATATAAGATAACACCATCAATTGTGTGAAGGTTGTCTCTGAACTGATAGTATTCCTGCAGCGCATCTGGGATCCTGCTCGGGACTCCGGGAGGCCAGATTCAATTAGTTGTACAAGGGTATGCAGATTATTATCACTGGCTGTGGCAGTTCTGACCCTGTCCCAAGTCACTGATTTTAAATCAAGGGAGTCTAGTGAATTAATGGCTGATAAAACTTACAGTGCTCTCAATGGAGGATCGGAGGTAGAATACGGGGTTCTCTCAATGGTGCAAGGTCAATGTTTGAGATACGAGTTAGGCTGCTGATACTAGCAATATGTCTGTGAGCACAAGCCGTTCTGGGTCCCCAGTAGGGTTCCGAGACAGGCTGTCTGTGGCCTTATGTTTAGCACCTGGGATGTAAACCATACTAAACTTGTACCTGAGGTTTTTTTCCTTTAGGTTCCTGAGCCTAGCATTAGATATATTCTCTAATGATCGGTCGCCAAAGAGCTTAAGGAGTGGTTGTGGTCGACAGCAATGATAAGGTTTAGAGCAACCCAGGACAAAATACCTGGCCCTGTCCAGTGCGTCAGCTACCGCTAAGGCCTCTCCTTCTACTGGAGCGTAGCGTGATTCTGCTGCATGAGTAAAGCGGCTACCTACTAATGTGACCCTCCAGCCATTGCTACAACAAAATGGCTCAGTTTTTTAGACAACTGCAATGTTTCTGGAGGAGCCAAAAGCCAATGCCATCCTTGGACCAATCTGTGGTAAGAGACATGTGGGTCTAGTCGGGTCAAAAATCTTAACCCTTCTTCGATTTCCCTCGTGATGACCTGTTTGGATTCTTCAAACAAAGTTGTCTAGTTCTTTGGCCAGAGAAATGGGTGTTAGGTTGGAGGAGGTGGCGAAATGGGGCCATCTTCCTGTCATTGCTAAAAGCATATGCAACCTGGTTGACAAGGCCGAAAAAAGATCTGACATCAGTGATATTCTTAGGTTTCGGAAAATCAGATTATGGCTTGTAGGTATCTCTGGCAAGGTCTGACAGAATTTGGGACCAATTTCAAAACCTGCAAATTCGACTGTATCTTCTGCAAAGGTAAACTTCTCCGGGTTCAGAGTTATGCCATTTTTTCCGCATAGATCTAGCCAATGCACGGTTTGGTTAAAACTGTCTTCTATTGTGTCTGACCATAGAAGACATCATCAATGCATTTAGTTTTGTTGGGTATGTGAGCTACAAGTTCATCGTACCTTCTAGTGTAGCCATCGCCCGAGGGCTATGTAGCCCTGAGGGGCGGTTCGATACCTGTATCTACCCCAAGGTGTGATGAATGTGGTAAAGTGACGATCCTCTTCCCGGATAGGTACACTATGGTAGCCATTCCAGGCGTCCAGTACAGTTTTGATTTTACCATGTGGTACGGAACGCGCTTGATGGAAGGGGAAGGGGTATGATGGGTCTCTCTCTTTGCATGTGCATTTAGGGGTTGTAGGTCAACAGTGCGGCGTGGCTCGCCATTCTTTTTGGCGCATACAACCATTCTGTGGCACCATGTTACCGGCTCACCAATAGGGACGGGTTCGATCACTTCCTAGGCTTACATCTTGGTCTAATCCAGCTTTAACGGCTTCACGCCAATGAATTGGTACTGGGATGGGGGTATGGTGGGCCACAGGCTCTGCTTGTGGGTCGATCATCAGCTTCATTGGTGGGCCATTAATCATGGGTAAAGGTTGTGTGAGGCAGGTGTTAAAGGTGCTAGACCTATAGTGGTTGAGAAGGTATTCCTTTAGGAGGGGAAGATTATCTTTGGTGCCTGGAAATGGTATTTGTCTGGGGTGGTGGAGGTAATTGGCGTTTAGGGCATGAGCATGTTTGCTGCTGGATGGCAGCGGTCTGGGTGGGGGTAGGAGCCGTGAAAGGGAAAGAGGCGGGAAGGATCCCTAACTCAGTGCAGGCCTCACGACTAAGGAATAGTTTGTCGCATGAATCAGTGACATACGTCATTTGTCTACTCTCAGCAGCCCTTTCCCCCTCTGTAGCACAAATGCGGAGCACAGTGGCGCCTATGATTTTAATACCAGTATTGGTTGCGGTGTGCATTTGCATTGTAACTGGAATAAGGTCCGACTCCCGAAGTCCAAGGCGTTTTATCACATTTGTGCCAGCTAAGCAGCTCTGGCAGCCTGTGTCAGCCAAGGCTGGAAGGATTGCTGAGAGAGGTCGGTTTGCATTTAGTTCGAAACCGAGGGCAGTATAGTCTTCTCTCACTACACGCGCACTAACATTCATGGTAGGTTGAGGTTTTGATTTACGTTTGATCCATGTGTCAGATAGTTTGTCATAGGCATGATGTTCTAGGCGTAGGGATCTTTCAATGCCCTCTTCACTTATCGAACAAGAGTCTGTGATAGTACACAACGCGTCAAAATGTAGCAGCTGTCTCACTGAAAGTGTTTTGTTGTCTGGCATCTAGCTTAGCACCCCTGCAGACCTGAGGAAAGTGATTTTGTTTAAGACAGCGGTCGCACATCTTACCATACGCTGGGCATACATTCTTCCTTATCCTTGCAGGTGCATTTGTACCATGACCTTTTGTTCCACAGTAGCCACAAGGATCTTTAGTTTCTTTTTTTTTCATTCTTGTTTTGATCATTTTTTTGTAGGAGCTGGAGGCTGCATCCACCGGCTGGCTCTCAAGTAAGGAGGAAGCTGACCTTTTACCGGCTTCCTTGACCTCCACAAATTGGAATATCTCCTCAAGTGTCATTTTCTGGTTTTTATCACCAAGCAACTCCAACTGAATCTCAGGGTCTGCGATTGCCCCTTGTCACAATATCGCGCATAACCTCATCGGAGAGAAGTCCACATTGGCACTGCAGTTAGGGCATTTAAGTGATAAACAGCAAATGTTTGCTTGGCCCTTCACACGAGCTCCAAAATTGCGTATTGTCTCCTCACGATCTTGTTTCATTGCATGTAACTAATGTCTAGCGACCATAGCATTCTCTTCCCTGACTGCGAGTTTCCTAATAGCAGATAACACTTCATTTTCAGGTTTGCCAGTCAGGTTTCCACCAGTAGCCCTTGTGAGGTCTTTCCTAAGCGTTTCTTCACAACATTCTAGAAGCTGTAGTATTAAGTCACTGCCTTTAACTTGAGTGGCTTTTTTGTAATCGTCCCATCGTTTTTCGAAGTACAACCAGTCCTCGTTTTTGTGCAGCTGCTTTGATAGTTGGACGTTTCACCTTTTCCACTTTAGCTGATGCCGCCACTGCGGGCGTGTGTGTCATCGAGTGTGTGTTGAGTAAGGCAGCAACTATCACAGCGTCCAGCTCAGCGGTTTTGTAATCGCATCCAGGAAATGGGCATTCAACGACAGGCATCTTGACTGGACTGTGTTCATCAATAAGAACTTGTTCTATTTGTGTTTTTTATTATTCACAATGAACACAGTCTGAAAATAAACAATACAGAAAACCTTTAAATGTGACTAGATATACATCACAAGACTTGACAATACGACTTCCATGTCATAACCAAGGGAATGATTAAATTGACAATGAAATACATATAGCATGAACCGTGATAAAGTGCAATACATGAAGGAGTAAAATAATCTTATACATTTTGGGTTTGTAATTACCTATCAATTAAAGTTTATTGTGCCACTTCACTTGTGATGTTGTGTCTTGTAAAAATATGTTACAAATGGCGATTTTCCCATCAGGGGAAGTAACTCTACCATGTGAAGTCCTGACCTCATGTACCGTGCACTGTATATATTCGTATATACGGCAGCATTTATTCGTTGATGTCGTGTTAGAATCGAAATAATATATCCAAAACAGTGATTTTATCGCTTGATAACATCACAGTTTGTCGTTCGGATGCGCATCATAATTTATTCCTTTCATCCGAACTCCAAACAGTGATGTTATTGAACGATAAAATCACTGTTTTGGATATATAACTACAACTACAACTACAAATATTTTATTGCATTAAAACAACATGTTCCATAGCAATACAATTTTTTTATACAAAGACCTGGTTTACAGAAGAGCACAATAATATTATTTATGTATCTGCATATAAGATGACTAGTTATTTCGCAAGTTTGCATAGTATATATATATATATTTTGCTAAATTATTAATTACAGTATTGCTTTTGATTTTGCACATATGAGATTAACAAATTTCTGTTAAGTTGACCACGTATAATAATATCTCTTTATATATTTTTATCTTAAGTCCTGGAATTTAGAACATATTAATACAAAATGATACTCATTTTTATATACTCATATATATTATTTCTTAAATATATACAGAGAAACAATGGAATAATTGGTAAGTAAAGGAAAATTAAGTGACTTTACTTTAGCAGTGTCCCAGTCTACAGGGGTACTGAAATACTTATAACAGTGACTACCATAACGTAACCACCCATCAGGACATGTGGTTGGTCGTGGTGTTGTTGTTGTTGTTGTTGTTGTTGTTGTTGTTGTTGTTGTTGTTGGTGGTTCTGAAAGGTTGAACGTTTCTATTACACATTTATTCACTATCATTTTTTCAATTATTTATTAATTCATTGTTTTAAATCACACACAAAAATGTTACTTAATTGTACATTTATAGCTGTAGGCGTCAAGATTAGTCAAACTATTTTTGAGAAAAAAAGTAAGATCATAAATTAATTATCTACGTGTTTATGCGATTATTGACTGATTTTGCAGTATTTGGCATCATATTTTTACCGCTTGACCAACGCAGTAAGTGTTATTTTTGCATAATTGTACATCTTTTTGGTATTTGACGTTGATTGCGAAATTGCCAATTGCAATGTGTATTTTTACCGCTTGACCAACGCAGTAAGTGTTATTTTTGCATAATTGTACATCTTTTTGGTATTTGACGTTGATTGCGAAATTGCCAATTGCAATGTGTATTTTTTTTCTCTGCCCACTTCACAATGTTTTACTTTTAGATACATTTTTTTCAATTGTCATATAATGTAGCATGCACCTTAAGGCGTGTTGCTTTAATTAAAATAAAGATATATTCACATTAATGACGTCAGTTTATTTATTTATGACATATACATTTTAATATTTACCTCGATGGTTTCTTAATAGCATATGAGTGTTGAAATTCATTTGAGCCGTGTCACGACAAAACCAACATAGTGGGTTTGCGACCAGCATGGGTCCAGACCAGCCTGCGCATCCGCGCAATCTGATCAGGATCCATGCTGTTCGCTCACAAACTCTATTACAAGTGGAGAAACTGATAGCGAACAGCATGGATCCTGATCAGACTGCACGGATGCGCAGGCTGGTCTGGATCCATGCTGGTCACAACCCCACTATGCTGGTTTTGTCGTGACGCGGCTCATTTCGAGTATCAAACCATTCAAACATAAGATGTTTTAATTTTTAGAATGTATTTAAGGAGTTTACCAATTTCTGTCTCACAGTTGCTTCCCGTATACCCAGAGTTCGAGCAATCACAGAAAACGTCTTTCGAAGATTTTCTACACTGCGTCACACTTCTACAACCGCCTAAATGATATCGTAAAATTAATCCTTTTACATTACCTTATTAACTTTATTTTAACTGATTTTCTAAACACTCTTGTTTGTCATTTTTTAATGTATTTATCACTTTTCCGACGGAAACAAAAATCAAAACTGTATTCATTAATTATTTAAGGTACAAATTAATATATCCACGATCAAGCTTCCGGCATATTGTCACGTGACTTTAAATTGACAGTACACATGTTTACTTACAGGGCTGACATTTCTTCGTGCTATTTCCACTTCCTTCTCCATTACCAGCCGGTAGACAGGCGGTCCCATTTGGACACTAGAAATTATCGAACACCGGTATCATAAATGAATTTACATTACATATATAAAAAGAAAATAAACACCAATACCTATTTCTTGTAAAAACATGTAGATCTAAATGCTCCACACTACAGCCTGTACATATGTAATCAAAGCACTGAAAGTACTGTTGGAAGGAAATTTTCATAGAAATACCTAATGCGTGTGAATTAAAAAAAAAGGAATATGTGCAAGCTTCAATCTACAGCTAGCTGATTTGATGACGTAAAATGTGACGTCATTGTTTCCGTTTTTGCACTACTCATGTTCAGTGGGCTGATAACTAGTTCTTTGCCCAGGGCCCCAAACCCATAAGTTGTGACACTCATAATCAGTTGAAATCATAGGCAATTCTGTTACTAATATAGTAATTAGTGAATCAATAGATAATACTACTGCATTAATTTATGCACACAAAGAACCACTCAGTTTGACCTAAATCGGCCATGACTTATATGACTACTTCATAGGAATTCAAGACCATGCCATAAGCATTATTTAATCATAGTTAATGAAGAGACTTTTTATTTTAAACTCAAGGACAAGAAAAGCTCATCATGTGCTTACATTTGTAAGTTCTAACATAACTAATTTGTGTTTTAGTTAAAATGAAAT